TGTATAAGGCAGATGGGGTAGTGTCTACTTGGGGCTCTTTGGAGCTAAACAACAAGTTAGCTGGTAATGTCCCTCCATTCCTTCCCTGGAAAAACATGTTTAAGAAGAGCTTGAAATAATGAGAGGTTTTTGTTTTTATGGGGTGCTAAATGCTGTTATCAACTGGCTGGTCAGGAGCAACGAAGGGGGGAACCCCTCCTTAACTGGAGCATCCTACTGGGGTCTGGACATGCCCTTCTCTGCTCAGCCCTGTGGAAGAGGGGGAGGGCTACTCTAGTACCTCCTGGCTTCTAGCCTGAGCCATTGCAGGCATGTGCTTGCATTTCTTCAGTTTAGAGGGGATGTCTGTACAGTTACAAACCAGTCTAGTCTAGCCAGGTTGGACTAACCTGCAAAAATTGATCAGTGTAGGCTGAGGCTTTTTGAATGTCTGCCCTAGCCTTAGGACCAAACAGATGCACGGTTTACATTCGGCATACAATTTGCATTACTTTTCTGTAATGTCCCCTGTGATTTCTCTAAATTTGTGCTGTTAAATAGTTTATAGTAGGAAATGTTTGGCCTAGCTAGGTAAGGATGGCATTGCATCCTCTCTTCCCCCTCAGGCAGCAGGATGTCTCCCATAATGTGGGTCTAAAATAAAGCATTATGAACTCACTTTCTGTGCACAGCATACCTGGACATCTCTGAGATTTGTGCTACACTTTATCGTACAAATAGCCTTCAACTCCTGCTTTCTGCTGGTAGTGCTCACTTATGAATTGGGTCCCTTGCAGCCAGTATTTCTAACTAAAATTAAGGGAAAGAATGGTGAAGGGACTTGAATCCTAAACTGGGCACTAAAATTCTGTCTGTGAGATTGGCCACAAGTACTGTGTGGGGGGGGGGGTTGTTTTCATTTTGTTGGGGTTTTTTTTTTGTAAACCTAATCTGTCTTCTAATATTTTAACCTGATCTAATAGCAGTGAAAATTAATTTTATGCTTGTTACTACTTCTCTATTTTTGAAATCTTAAATTTAATATTATGTAAATATTCATACCTCTAGATTGAGCATGTATTTATTTATCAAATTTAACACAATTCAAGTGTGCATTGCATAGGATGGTGGGTTTTTTTTAAAATGGTAAATTGCTTTTAGCACTGTTCATACTTGTTGCATCTTTTTAAAACTGCAGGGGACATGGCTTTATCATAGCCTAAGGACAGACAGTCAAAAAGCCTGAGGCTGAATTGATTCAATCTTCACAGATTTAGTCTAAACTGCATAGATTGAACCAGTAAGCCAATGAAGGCATTCACTTTTGATTGTGGAAATGTAGCCACATGCCTGCAGTGGCCCAGGCCAGAAGGGGATCTAGGACAAGTTCAATAAACTGATTTAAACTATGCCTGTTCTGGTTCATCTTGAACTGATTTTTGGCCATTTTGAAATTGGTTTATGTGCATTGAGCTTCTGTTGTGTTACAGATTTGAACTAGTTTGTGTAATTTCTGCCCCTAGCCAATGATATATTGATGCATCATTATAGAAAATGTTACAGTATTTTCTAAGTTGGCTTGGAAGAAACTTTGAAGAAAAATGATAATTGATTATTAGGTCTTCTAATTGTTGCCTTAACTAAATGAATCCCTAAAGAACTAAGGCAAACATAAGGAATTTGCTTACCATGTCCTCCTGAATTTAAGCATCTATACTCAGTAGTAAGATGACACCTTAAAGTATGAGGAAAATAGTTTGCATCCCCTGAAAATGCCATGCAACTGGTTGTTCTCAAGGGTGTATTTGTTCTACACTCAGATAACTGGAATTTCTTAGGTCTCTGAGTTAGCTTTCAAAGTAGCTAACACTCAGCACAAGATTCATTCTAATCTGTCAAACCTCTCTGGGTAACAGGTGGGCATCTTGCTCTTGTTGAGCTCTGTGCTGCTGCTGTAGCTTCTGTCGGTACCCAAGCAAACTTGGGTATGTCTACATGAGCTGCAGTGGCATCTTTGACTACAGCACAGGCAACCTGTGCTGCAGGCTGTCAGATTCACCAGCAGTAATGAAAGATGAATATTCATCAAATAGCTTTGATAAGCAAATTGATATTGCTCTAGGTTGTTTTGCAATCTTGTTTCTATTCACTAATAAGAATCATTTTGTTATCAGTAGAGTAACTCCACCTAAACAAGCAGTAAGTCTGGCAAGTAGCTTTGTCCAGTCCTCTTTTGTGCAAGCAAGATGGAGAGAGTGACAGCTTTTTAAATCCGTTTCAGAAGTATTTTTAAAAGAAGAATTGGTGTCCTGCTCACCTGGCAAAACATTTTAACTTAATCTTGTGTATAAATTGGGAGTCTTTTGTGGTGGCTGATAGTTTCTTGCTTCCTCTCTCTGATTGTTCTGAATCTTTCAGAAAAGGCACAAAATAATTCTAAAAAATGCTGCTGATTTATTATAGTTTTGATTATTTTTTGACCTCTTACTGCATGTCCACACTTATCTAGACATGGCCTATGTGGTGCTACAGGCCTGTCTGCAGCACCACACATGGCACATGCAGGTGTTCCCCACACTGCTACCTTGAATTATGTTTTGTGTGCATAGTTTGTTTGTTTGTTGTTTTGACCCCAGGAGGTCCTAGGGTAAAAAACAGGGCAGCACACATGGTTGTGTGGCAGTGTGCATCATCCAAAACAAGAGCCTGACCAGCTGGAGCCATATTCCAGCTGCTGGCTGGGCTTCCTGCCCTGGGAGGCCCCCAGGACTCCAAGGCAGCTTCCCCTTCCCCACCTAGGATAACCTGCTGCGCATGTGGCACAAGTATCCTCAGGGAGGGACAAATAGCAGCACAAGGTGTGCTGCTGATTCTTGTCCCTGGGGATGTCAACAACTGCGCTCATCTGGATGTGCCCTTTAACCCCAAATTTGTTCTACTTCAGAAATATATTCTTCTAGTGCAGTTATGCAAACCAAATCTTTTTTAATATTCATATAAAAGTAACACTTTTTAAATTACCAAATAAACTTATCTTTTTGGGGATCACTCTATTTTCTGTTTTTTTCCCTAGTTTGTTCTACTGTTCAGTCACGTAGCTTAAAAGGAATGGCAAAGGAGGGATACTTCTTGAACTGTGAGCCAGCAGTGGGTCCCCTGGTCCCTTGTCTTCAGTGAGCATGTGTGAAATATCCACATGTTCTAAAGGTGTAGTTGGCCCAAGTTTTAATTGCAGTGTGTTGCAGAGTGACTTTTTTTTTTTTTTCTTCTTTTTTCAAAGGAAAGAAAGTTGCTAGATGCTCCTCCTGTCTCCCC